AATAGAGTTTTGTGGCCGATTCTCGGCGCAATAGTCGGATTTCCGAATGAAAGCCCATTTACCATTGCCTGTTTCGCTGGAAAACAAAAACCATCTAATATAAATGGTTTTATGCAGGAATTTTGTGAAGAAGTTGTTCTTTTAAGAGCAAATGGTTTGCAAGTGGGATCACTGAATCCAGCTCCAAAAAAATTTAATATTCGGTTGTTTACTTGTGATTCACCAGCACGTGCTTTTGTTTGCGGTGTTCAAAGTCATACTGGAAAAAATAGTTGCCCCAAATGCTCTCAAGTGGGAAAATATGAACAAAAGAGATTGTGCTTTTCGAAGCAAGTAGGGCAATTAAGAACAGACGAATCTTTCAGAAATAGGGAGGATGAGGCACATCATAGTTTGACATTTTTAGAGGAGGGAAATATATTGCAAAAAGCGGGCTTTGGAATGGTATCCCAGTTCCCATTAGATCCCATGCACCTTGTTGATCTCGGCGTGGCAAAGAAATTGCTTCAATTCTTGCTGAAGAGAGCTGATATAACAAGAATGAATAAAAAATTTGGCTTTGTTTCCACTAGGGTGCCATTGGAGTTTGGTCGGGTGTGTAGAAATTTAAATGAAATCAGCAATTGGAAATCCACAGAGTGTAGACAGTTCTTGTTATACTCAGGAATATTTATATTAAAAGATTGCATTGCTGATGATCTCTACTATCCCTTCCTTTTACTACATTCAGGAATACGAATTTTATCATCTGAAAGATTGTATAAAACAGAAGCAAATGTGGCTCAACAACTGCTAGAAGACTTTGTTGATTTGTTTGGGAACATTTTTGGTGTTCACGTTATAAGTTTTAATGTGCACGGTTTGCTGCATTTATCTCAATGCGCTAAAGAATATGGACCCTTGGACAATTTCTCCGCGTACAAATTTGAAAATTATTTGCAATATTTGAAAAGGGTTATTAAAAAACCTACAAACATTCTACAGCAGTTATTTCTAAGACTCCACGAAAGGAAAAATGTAGAAATGCCTAAAAACACAAAATTTGGTTCCTTCGAAATAGATCCAAAAAAGGAAAAAGATTCGTTTTGTTTCAGTCCAGTAACAGGACCTTTCATAATCGTTGAAACTTCAAGAAAATTTGGGCAGCATGTAGTATTAGTATATGCTTTTGAACAAATTAATAATTTGTTTGAGGAACCGCTTGAATCTGTATCTGCACTTGGTATATTAACGGCAGGTCAATTGAGTAGTGAAAAGTTTAAAATCCGCAAATCAGATATTCAATATAAATATTTTAGTATCCCATACAATAATGAGTTTCTTTTGATCCAAATTCTACACCACTTATTTTACGAGTTTTCGAACTAATCATTTAAAAACCCCACATATACATACATTTCTATTTACTTTACTCAAATAATATCGCTATTCAGTTCCAATCGCCGAACTTAAAAACCTTAAAAAATCGAAAATGGACTTAAATAATAACTCCAACGGCTCACTGAAAGGTAATGCTATTGAACAAATTTACAAACATTTTTTTAAATGATAAACAAAAAAAATTATATTTCAGAACAAAAACGGATTTTCGGATTGACTACTTTTAATAATTCTGTACCATACCCTGTGACGCATAAAAGTAAATTTTATATAGAAGTGCTTACGTTTTAACTTGCATATATTAATTTTTTTTTTATATAAATAGTTGACTTAAGATCGAAAATGCTTTCTGTAGTTCCGCCCACCTCCCAACCACGAATAATGCCATCCAATACTGTTGCCAAATCTTCAATTGGTACCGACTCCTTTAATTTATTGACAGCAAGGACCCAATGCAAAGAAAGTTTTACATCAGCCCATTTGACAGAGGCTTTTTCTACTGCTAATCATTCTTCTGTGGCGAAATACGTGAAACTTCCTTCAATTTCCATTTCCATAAAAGGTAATACCTATTTGATATAAATAAAGGAATATTCTTTAATTTTTCTTACCTTTTTCAGACAATCTTACACAAGTTGCACTTGATCAAGCAAGCTGTCCAGTTGAAACCGAAACTGCTTACCCCAAAACTGACAATATGACAGCTTCCAGAACTGCCAGCCATCCCACTTCATATACAGAAGGTATTAAAAATTAACTTTCTTAGTTTTTATTATTATTTCTTTTTAATGCAGATTAAGCAGTTTTTATAGATCGGCTAAGCACATCTGTGGGTTAACGTACCGGTGATTATCCATTTTAGTGAACGTAGGCCCAACTGTCGTGGGAACGTCAAGAAAAGGTCCACATGGTACCTACTCGACTCGACTGGCAGTATCAAAAATCCGATGGTTGTTTTTTAGATCTCCATAGCATGCGTATGCGTACCTACACGCATGAAAATAAAACAAAAATTTATAAATTTTGAATTCTAAGCGTAAATGTCAAACTCACGCATACGGATACGCATGCTATGGAGCTCCGCCCATGATAAAAACATAGTAAGGTAAAACCATGATACTAAAATGTATCAGGTGGCAGTGGTATAATAAAAGAATACGTCC